ACTGACGGTAAAGCATCAGCTGCTCTAGACACCGTTTCAGGGTCTTCTTCAGTGAAAAAGTCTAACTTTAAGTCAGTCAGTCAAGTCAGTAAGTCAGTCAGTCAAGTCAGTAAGTCAGTCAGTCAAGTCAGTAAGTCAGTCAGTCAAGTCAGTAAATCAGCCTAAGTTAGTAAACCAGTCAAGTCAGTCAGTAAACCAGTCAAGTCAGTCAGTAAAGTCAGTAATCAGTCAAGTCAGTAAAGTCAATCAGTCAGTTAAGTAAGTCAGTAAGTCGGTCAGTTAGTAAGTCGGTCAGTCAGTCAAATAAATCAGTCAAGTAAGTCAGTCAGTCAAATAAATCAGTCAGTCAAGTCAGTCAGTCAATCAAGTCCATCAGTCAGCCAAGGCTCTGGGGAATATTACCAGCTAAGTCTATTTAAAGACATAAACGAAAGATTCGTACTTAGCTTCAGTGCTGATTCGGCCTCCCCACAGCTGCACCCAGGGAGGCCCTTCCGATGGGAATTGTGTTTTCCCCAAACTGTAGCTGTTGATGAATAAGTGATGAGTAAGTAGTTGCCCCAAAGGAACATATATTTCAGCATTTCACTTGACAATGCTGAATGAAGTGTTACTTGGGCTCAGAAGCTCTCACCTCACGGGCGTGTTTAGGACAGTCTTGCTCACCTCGTGTCTACCTAAAACTGCAGTTTCTTAGGTTCTACAAGCAAGATTGAGACTTAACTTGTTCGTGTAATGTGAGCTAAGGTGTTGAAAGCACCAATACGACCGATATCGGTGACTTGATAGAAGCAATAGTCTCTCTCGAACTGTTGCAATGTCCTCCACTCAGTCGGGAAGGCTGCATCACTTACACTGTTACACTACACTGTTCTTCAAGATTTGTCCATGATTTTCATGGTAATTTCACAACAGGAAGACTGGTTACACTTCATTGTAATAGTTCTACCACGAATTTCTGAGATTGTCAAATGAACAAGAGTCAGACCGCACTCATCGTTATTGTTCCTTTGTCTGTTTCCAGGTAAAAGGGCAATGTCCACATGACGCACATTTCACATCCGTCTCTTGAAGCAATCTGAGTTTCTCCTGCACACTTCACCTTGAGTGGCCCCTCAATGCTGACTTTAGCGTGATTTCCCTCCTTACTTAACATCATCACAGCATTCAGTACAAGATGGTTGACATTGTTATGGGGCTATAGAATTCAACATGTATTTATAAGTAGCAGTTAGTCTGGAATACCTAATTATATTGCATTGATGGGGACTCAGCTCTAAATGTCATAAGGGCAGATCACCCTTATGACTGAGAGGCAGCTGGGTCAAGCCTATTTTTCTCAATATAATAGGTTATACTATAGACACACAAACACACAATTGCTGAGTCCCCATCAATTCAATATAATTAGGTATTCCAGAGTAACTGTTACTTATAAATACATGTTGAGTCCTATAGCCCCATAACAGACATCTTATTATCTAGCTATAGATGACAGTTCATCATGTCGCACAATGTAGGTAAAGTGGTGCAGGGTTTTTATGTAATTTTCCTGCTAAGGGAAAGAGAGTCATAACTTTCATTTTACTGTCACTTTTATTGCAATGAGCACTGTGTTGCAAGAAGTGACATGACTGTGACGCTGACAGACACATGCGCTTCCAATCAAATTGTTTATGCCGAAGCAAGAGAGGCTATCAGCCTCTCTTCCAGGAGGGCTGAGAGGGCTGATACCCCCATTTCTGGAGAATTTTCTCCACAAACTCAGTCAGTAAATCAAGTCAGTCAGTCGGTCAGTTATTCATCACACAAACCTTATTCTTTTTAACCCTTTGACTGTTTTAGTCGTATATATACGTCTTATGAAGTACCGTGTTTGACGTATGTATACGCAAAAATTCTAGAGGCTTCAGATCAAGCAGGAGAAAGCTGGTAGGCCCATTTGTGAGAGAATGGGTCTGTGTGGTCAGTGTGCACCATATAAAAAAAATCCTGCAGCACACAGTTCATAATGAGAAAAAAAAACTCTGACCGCTTTTTTTTATTAAAACGCCGGCTTTGTGGTGTGTTTTCATATAGTATTTATGGTTGTATTCTCGTTTTCTTGGTCTCATTTGATAGAATGGAAAACATATTATAGAAATAGAGGTGATTTTGATTGGTTTTACTATGAAAAGGACCTGGAAATGGAGCTCAGAGTAGGGGAAATGTTTGATTTTTGCCAATGTTCAAAAGTAAACAAATGATGTCATTGTCCAGTAAATGTCCAACTAGCCATTCTGATGAGCAGTCACAAATGGGTTGACATTATTTGTACAATTATTACTATATAGCAGTACTCTGCATAACAGTAAATCTTCTAAATTTTGTTTGAATAAAAATTCAAAATAGAAAGCAAGAGTAATATCAGAGGGGCCTGGAGACATGACTGATGAACAAAGAAAATGTTATTTTATAGCCAGGAATGTCTGCATTGTTCATTCTGGGCCCTATTTTGAAATTGGCATATTTTTTAATTTGTGTGAAATTGGCCAAATTGCAAAATTCTGACCACATTGTTGGGTAATTGAAATTGGGAAATGGGCAGTTTTTTGTGCTCAATCGATAGAACAAATGGAGTTCTAAAGAAATAGCTATGAGTTTGGTCGACTGGAAGAATGGAATTAGCCAAAAATAGGGCTCAAAGTGAGCGAAATTGCCGATTCGTAAATATCACCGAGGTCACTAACTTTGTGGGAGCGTAATTCCCTAAGTTTTCCATCAAATTTCATTCTTTTGGTGTCATTACCATCGGGAAAAGATTCTCTATCATTTCATAAGATTTTTTTTTTTTTTTTTTTTTTTTTTTAATTTTTCGACACCAGGAGACACCTCAGGATTTGGGGTTTCGACAGTCAAGGAGTTAATTGCACAGTGATGCTTCATTACGGCCACGCTATCTCTCATCTAATATCTCTATTATCATGATTGCTTGGCATATACAAGATATGGTAATTAAAAGATCAAAACACAATTCACAAACACAGTTCCTAAGACAGAATGGAACTGAACACGTATTCACAATAGCTGGGATGGTGGTGGCGGGAGTGTTGGAGGTGACAGGGGATGGCAAGAGGTCTCCCTCACTGAGCCACAACGAGGCGGCAGCTGGAGCTGGTGAAATTTTTTCCATGCCTGCAAACAGAACTGTGTAAAGTTAATTTTACGAAGTGTTGTACAAAATTGTGCCGCAATTTTTCCATAGTGCGGTAACCAAAAAGTGGTAAATAAATCTGTGTAATATAACGGTCTATTGTATGTGTATGTATGTATTTATCTATTTGTGATTGTAATGGTTGGGTCACAGCTCCTGGCCCCACCTCTTCACTGTGTGTGTATAATGTAAATCACTTAAATGGACCAAAGTGTTAATGGACCCATGGTTTACCGAACCTTTGTTTAATTGGCCCATGGGTTAATGGACCCAGGACTAATGGACCTTAGTTTAATTCCTTGAATGTCACAACCCCCAATCCTGAAGTGTCTCCTGGTGTTGCAAAATTTCAAAAAAAAAAAAAAAATTTTTTTCTTTTGAAATGACAGAGAATCTTTTCCCGATTGTAATGACACCAAAAAAACGAAATTTGAAGGAAAACTGATGGAATTACGCTCTCGCGAAGCTAGCGACCTTGGCGATATTTACAAATTGGCGATTTCGCCCACTTTGAGCCCTATTTTCGGCTAATTCCATTGTGCCAGTCGACCAAACTCATAGCTATTTCTTTAGAACTCCATTTTTTCTATCGATTGAGTACAAGAACTGCTCATTTACCAATTTCAACTACTCAATAGCATGGTCAAAAATTTGCAATTTGGCCAATTTCACGAAAATTAAAAAATATGACAATTTCAAAATAAGGTTCAGAATGAACAATGCAGACATTCCTGGCTCTAAAATAAAAAATTTCTTTTTTCCCATCAGTCATGTCTCCAGGACCCTCTGATATTACTCTTGCTTTCTATTTTGAATTTTTATTCAAACAAAAAATAGAAGATTTACTATTATGCAGACTACTCCAATACTGTAATAATTATATAAATAACATCAACCCATTCATGACTGCATATTAGAATGGCTATTTGGACATTTATTGGACAATGATGTCATTTGTTTACTTTTGAACATCGGCAAAAATCAAACATTTCCCCTACTTTGAGCTCCATTTTCAGTTTTTTTTTATGGTAAAATCAATCAAAATCATCCCTTTTTCTATAATGTGTTTTCCATTCTAACAAATGAGACCAAGAAAACGAGAATACAACCATAAATACTTTACGATAATAGACCACAAAGTCGGCATTTTAATTAAAAAAAACGGTCGGAGTTTTTTTTCTCATTATGCACTGCATGCTCCAGGGTTTTTTTTATATGGTGCACACTGACCACATAGACCCATTCTCTCACATGTGGGCCTACCAGCTTTCTCCTTCTTGATTTGAAGCCGCTAGAATCTATGAGTATGTATACGTCAAACACGGTATCTCGTAAGACGTATATATACTGGCCGTGACAGTCAAAGGGTTAATGGATCCATGGGTTAATGGGTCTTAGTTTAATGGATCCATGGGTTAATGGGCCTTAGTTTAATGGATCCATGGATTAATGGACCTTAGTTTAATGGATCCATAGATTAATGGACCTTAGTTTAATGGATCCATGGGTTAATGGGCTTTAGTTCAATGGATCCATGGGTTAATGGACCTTAGTTTAATGGATCCATGGGTTAATGGACCTTAGTTTAATGGATCCATGGGTTAATGGACCTTAGTTTAATGGATCCATGGGTTAATGGACCTTAGTTTAATAGACTCCTGGGTTAATAGATGTTAGTTTAATGGTCCCTTGGGTTAATAAACATCACTTTAGTGGACCCATAGGTTAATGGACCTTAGCTTAGTGGACCAACAAATTAATGCAATTCACTTAAATGGACCCCTGGATTACTTCAAGACTCTTACAGGTGAGGATGGGGGCTATGGGCTGCAGAGAGCATGGGGCACTGTGGGCTGGGGCCTCATGGGGCCCATTAGTGGTCTGCTGGTGGACTGGTGGTCGGGGACCTCTCTCACTAAGCAGTATGGCCCTGCTTACCTGCTCTGCTTCCTGCTGGGGGCCATGGATGTGGCCCTCTCTGTTGTAGCTATCAAGGTGAGTAGGATTTCTGGGAGTTTCTGGCCCCTTCCTCAGGGGGCCATGAATGTGGCCCTCTCTGTTGCAGCTATCAAGGTTAGGAGGACTTCTGGAAGTTTCTGGTCCCTTCCTCAGGGGGCCATGAATGTGGCCATCTCTGTTGCAGCTATCAAAGTGAGGAGGACTTCTGGGAGTTTCTGGCCCCTTCCCCAGGGGGGCCCTGAATGTGGGCCCTCTCTGTTGCAGCTATCAAGGTGAGGAGGACATCTGGAAGTTTCTGGCCCCTTCCTCAGGGGGCCATGAATGTGGCCCTCTCTGTTGCAGCTATCAAGGTGAGGAGGACTTCTGGAAGTTTCTGGCCCCTTCCTCAGGGGGCCATGAATGTGGCCTCTCTGTTGCAGTATCAAAGGGGAGGAGGACTTCTGGAAGTTTCTGGCCCCTTCCTCAGGGGGCCATGAATGTGGCCCTCTCTGTTGCAGCTATCAAGGTGAGGAGGACATCTGGGAGTTTCTGGCCCCTTCCTCAGGGGGCCATGAATGTGGCCCTCTCTGTTGCAGCTATCAAAGGGGAGGAGGCATCTGGAAGTTTCTGGCCCCTTCCTCAGGGGGCCATGAATGTGGCCCTCTCTGTTGCAGCTATCAAGGTGAGGAAGACTTCTGGAAGTTTCTGGCCCCTTCCTCAGGGGGCCATGAATGTGGCCCTCTCTGTTCCAGCTATCAAGGTGAGGAAGACTTCTGGAAGTTTCTGGCCCCTTCCTCAGGGGGCCATGAATGTGGCCCTCTCTGTTGCAGCTATCAAGGTGAGGAGGACTTCTGGAAGTTTCTGGTCCCTTCCTCAGGGGGCCATGAATGTGGCCCTCTCTGTTGCAGCTATCAAGGTGAGGAGGACTTCTGGAAGTTTCTGGCCCCTTCCTCAGGGGGCCATGAATGTGGCCCTCTCTGTTGCAGCTATCAAGGTGAGGAGGACTTCTGGAAGTTTCTGGCCTCTTCCTCAGGGGGCCATGAATGTGGCCCTCTCTGTTGCAGCTATCAAGGTGAGGAGGACTTCTGGAAGTTTCTGGCCTCTTCCTCAGGTAAGAGAAGCTCTCACCTCTCCTGTAAATATCTGTATACAGTCATTTCTCTTATCAAGCTCTGTATACAGTCAGTTATCTTATTAAGCTTCTGTATATACAGTCAGTTCTCTTATAAAGCCTCTCTATATCTGGTGAGGTCTCTTATACATCTCTAGATGCAGTCGCTTTTCTCATAAAATTCCTGAATATACAGCACCTCTGTATACAGTCAGTTCTCTTATACAGCACCTCTGTATACAGTCAGTTCTCTTATACAGCACCTCTGTATACAGTCAGTTCTCTTATACAGCACCTCTGTATACAGTCAGTTCTCTTATACAGCACCTCTGTATACAGTCAGTTCTCTTATACAGCACCTCTGTATACAGTCAGTTCTTATACAGCACCTCTGTATACAGTCAGTTCTCTTATACAGCACCTCTGTATACAGTCAGTTCTCTTATACAGCACCTCTGTATACGTCAGTTCTCTTTTACAGCACCTCTGTATACAGTCAGTCTCTTAACAGCACCTCTGTATACAAATCAGTTCTCTTATACAGCACCTCTGTATACAGTCAGTTCTCTTATACAGCACCTCTGTATACAGTCAGTTTCTTTTACAGCACCTCTATATACAGTCAGTTTTTCTTATACAGCACCTCTGTATACAGTCAGTTTTTCTTATACAGCACCTCTGTATACAGTCAGTTCTCTTATACAGCACCTCTGTATACAGTCAGTTCTCTTATACAGCACCTCTGTATACAGTCAGTTCTCTTATACAGCACCTCTGTATACAGTTTAGTTTTTCTTAACAGCACCTCTATATACAGTCAGTTTCCTTATACAGCACCTCTGTATACAGTCATTCTCTTATACAGCACCTCTGTATACAGTCAGTTTCTCTATACAGCCCTCTGTATACAGTCAGTTCTCTTATACAGCACCTCTGTATACAGTCAGTTCTCTTATACAGCACCTCTGTATACAGTCAGTTCTCTTATACAGCACTGATATATACAGTCAGCTCTCTTATAAGTTTCTGTATGTGCAGTTACTTCTCTCACAAAGTTCTATATACAGTTCCTCCATATACAGTTCCTCCATGTACAGTTCCTCCATATACAGTTCCTCCACATACAGTTCCTCCATATACAGTTCCTCCATATACAGTTTATCCATGTACAGTTCCTCCATATACAGTTCCTCCATATACAGTTCCTCCATATACAGTTTATCCATGTACAGTTCCTCCATATACAGTTCCTCCATATACAGTTCCTCCATATACAGTTCCTCCATATACAGTTTCCTCCCTAACAGTTCCTCCATATACAGTTCATCCATATACAGTTCCTCCATATACAGTTCCTCCATATACAGTTCCTCCATATACAGTTTATCCATGTACAGTTCCTCCATATACAGTTCCTCCATATACAGTTCCTCCTATACAGTACCTCCATTACATTCCTCCATATACAGTTCCTCCATAATACAGTTTCCTCCATATACAGTTCCCATATACAGTTCCTCCAGATACAGTTCCTCCATATACAGTTCCTCCATATACAGTTCCTCCATGTACAGTTCCTCTATATACAGTTCCTCCATGTACAGTTCCTCCATATACAGTTCCTCCATATACAGTTCCTCCATATACAGTTCCTCCATATACAGTTCCTCCATAATACAGTTCCTCCATATACAGTTCCTCCATATACAGTTCCTCCATGTACAGTTCCTCCATATACAGTTCCTCCATATACAGTTCCTCCATATACAGTTCCTCCATATACAGTTCCTCCATATACAGTTCCTCCATATACAGTTCCTCCATATACAGTTCCTCCATGTACAGTTCCTCCATATACAGTTCCTCCATATACAGTTCCTCCATGTACAGTTCCTCCATGTACAGTTCCTCCATATACAGTTCCTCCATGTACAGTTCCTCCATATACAGTTCCTCCATATACAGTTCCTCCATGTACAGTTCCTCCATATACAGTTCCTCCATATACAGTTCCTCCATATACAGTTCCTCCATATTCAGTTCCTCCATATACAGTTCCTCCATATACAGTTCCTCCATGTACAGTTTTCCCCCATTACAGTTCCTCCATATACAGTTCCTCCATGTACAGTTCCTCCATGTACAGTTCCTCCATGTACAGTTCCTCTATACAGTTCCTCCATATACAGTTCCTCCATGTACAGTTCCTCCATATACAGTTCCTCCCCTATACAGTTCCTCCATATACAGTTCCTCCATATACAGTTCCTCCCTATACAGTTCCTCCATTTTACAGTTCCTCCCTGTACAGTTCCTCAAAATACAGTTCCTCCATATACATTCCTCAAAGTACAGTTCCTCCATATACAGTTCCTCCATATACAGTTCCTCCATATACAGTTCCTCCATATACAGTTCCTCCATGTACAGTTCCTCCATATACAGTTCCTCCATATACAGTTCCTCCATGTACAGTTCCTCCATATACAGTTCCTCCATGTACAGTTCCTCCATATACAGTTCCTCCATATACAGTTCCTCCATATACAGTTCCTCCATATACAGTTCCTCCATGTACAGTTCCTCCATATACAGTTCCTCCATATACAGTTCCTCCATGTACAGTTCCTCCATATACAGTTCCTCCATATACAGTTCCTCCATATACAGTTCCTCCATATACAGTTCCTCCATATACAGTTCCTCCATGTACAGTTCCTCCATGTACAGTTCCTCCATATACAGTTCCTCCATGTACAGTTCCTCCATATACAGTTCCTCCATGTACAGTTCCTCCATATACAGTTCCTCCATGTACAGTTCCTCCATATACAGTTCCTCCATATACAGTTCCTCCATGTACAGTTCCTCCATATACAGTTCCTCCATATACGTTTTCCCCCATGTACAGTTCCTCCATATACAGTTCCTCCATATACAGTTCCTCCATATACAGTTCCTCCATATACAGTTCCTCCATATACAGTTCCTCCATATACAGTTCCTCCATATACAGTTCCTCCATGTACAGTTCCTCCATATACAGTTCCTCCATATACAGTTCCTCCATATACAGTTCCTCCATATACAGTTCCTCCATAACAGTTCCTCCAATAACAGTTTTCCCCCATATACAGTTCCTCCATGTACAGTTCCTCCATATACAGTTCCTCATGTACGTTCCTCCATATACAGTTCCTCCATATACAGTTCCTCCATATACAGTTCCTCCATATACAGTTTTCCTCCATATACAGTTCCTCCATATACAGTTTTCCTCCATGTACAGTTCCTCCATATACAGTTCCTCCATATACAGTTCCTCCATATACAGTTCCTCCATGTACAGTTCCTCCATATACAGTTCCTCCATGTACAGTTCCTCCATATACAGTTCCTCCATATACAGTTCCTCCAGTACAGTTCCTCCATATACAGTTCCTCCATATACAGTTTCCTCCATGTACAGTTCCTCCATATACAGTTCCTTCCATATACATTCCTCACTTATACAGTTCCTCATATACAGTTCCTCCATATACAGTTCCTCCTTATACAGTTCCTCCATGTACAGTTCCTCCATATACAGTTCCTCCATGTACAGTTCCTCCATATACAGTTCCTCCATGTACAGTTCCTCCATATACAGTTCCTCCATGTACAGTTCCTCCATATACAGTTCCTCCATATACAGTTCCTCCATGTACAGTTCCTCCATATACAGTTCCTCCATATAAAAGTTCCTCCATGTACAGTTCCTCCATATACAGTTCCTCCATATACAGTTCCTCCATATACAGTTCCTCCATATACAGTTCCTCCATATACAGTTCCTCCATGTACAGTTCCTCCATTTTACAGTTCCTCCATATACAGTTCCTCCATATACAGTTCCTCCCCTATACAGTTCCTCCATGTACAGTTCCGCCATATACAGTTCCTCCATATACAGTTCCTCCATAAAAGTTCCTCCCTGTACAGTTCCTCCATATACAGTTCCTCCATATACAGTTCCTCCATATACAGTTCCTCCATGTACAGTTCCTCCATATACAGTTCCTCCATATACAGTTTTCCTCCATATACAGTTCCTCCATATACAGTTCCTCCATATACAGTTCCTCCATATTACAGTTCCTCCATATACAGTTCCTCCATGTTTCAGTTCCTCCATGTACAGTTCCTCATATACAGTTCCTCCTTTTACAGTTCCTCCATATACAGTTCCTCCATATACAGTTTCCTCCATTTTACAGTTCCTCCATGTACAGTTCCTCCATATACAGTTCCTCCAAAATACAGTTCCTCCATGTCAGTTCCTCATATACAGTTCCTCCATATACAGTTCCTCCATATACAGTTCATCCATATACAGTTCCTCCATGTACAGTTTCTCCATGTACAGTTCCTCCATATACAGTTTCTCCATATACAGTTCCTCCATATACAGTTCCTCCATATACAGTTCCTCCATATACAGTTCCTCCATATACATTCCTCCATGTACAGTTTTCCCCATGTACGTTCCTCCATATACAGTTCCTCCATATACAGTTCCTCCAATACAGTTCCTCCATATACAGTTCCTCCATATACAGTTCCTCCATATACGTTCCTCCATATACAGTTTTCCCCCATATACAGTTCCCCCATGTACAGTTCCTCCATATACAGTTCCTCCATATACAGTTCCTCCATATACAGTTCCTCCATGTACAGTTCCTCCATATACAGTTCCTCCATATACAGTTCCTCCATATACAGTTCATCCATATACAGTTCCTCCATATACAGTTCCTCCATGTACAGTTTCTCCATATACAGTTCCTCCATATACAGTTTTCCCCCATATACAGTTCCTCCCTATACAGTTCCTCCATATACAGTTCCTCCATATACAGTTCCTCCATATACAGTTCCTCCATGTACAGTTCCTCCATATATAGTTCCTCCATATACAGTTCCTCCATATACAGTTCCTCCATATACAGTTCCTCCATATCAGTTCCTCCTATACAGTTCCCCCCATATACAGTTCCTCCATATACAGTTCCTCCTCATGTACAGTTCCTCCATGTACAGTTCCTCCATATACAGTTCCTCCATATACAGTTCCTCCATGTACAGTTCCTCCATGTACAGTTCCTCCATATACAGTTCCTCCATATACAGTTCCTCCATATACAGTTCCTCCATATACAGTTCCTCCATATACAGTTCCTCCATGTACAGTTTCTCCATATACAGTTCCTCCATATACAGTTTCTCCATATACAGTTCCTCCATATACAGTTCCTCCATATACAGTTCCTCCATATACAGTTCCTCCATACGCAGTTCCTCCATATACAGTTCCTCCATGTACAGTTCCTCCATATACAGTTCCTCCATATACAGTTCCTCCATATACAGTTCCTCCATATACAGTTCCTCCATATACAGTTCCTCCATATACAGTTCCTCCATATACAGTTCCTCCATATACAGTTCCTCCATGTACAGTTCCTCCATGTACAGTTCCTCCATGTACAGTTCCTCCATATACAGTTCCTCCATATACAGTTTCTCCACATACAGTTCCTCCACATACAGTTCCTCCATATACAGTTCCTCCATATACAGTTCCTCCATATACAGTTCCTCCATATACAGTTTCCTCCATATACAGTTCCTCCATGTACAGTTCCTCCAATATACAGTTCCTCCATATAAAATTTCCTCCATATACAGTTCCTCCAAAATACAGTTCCCCCATATACAGTTCCCCATATACAGTTTCCCCCATATACAGTTTTCCTCCCTGTACAGTTCCTCCATGTACAGTTCCTCCATGTACAGTTCCTGCATGTACATTTCCTCCATGTACAGTTCCTCCATGTACAGTTCCTCCATATACAGTTCCCCATATACAGTTCATCCGTATACAGTTTTCCCCCATATACGTTCCTCCATTTACAGTTTCTCCATGTACAGTTCCCCATGTACAGTTTCTCCTGTACAGTTCCTCCAATACAGTTCCTCCATATACAGTTCCTCCATATACAGTTCCTCCATATACAGTTCCTCCATATACAGTTCCTCCATGTACAGTTCCCCCATATAAAAGTTCCTCCATACAGTTCCTCCATATACAGTTCCTCCATATACAGTTCCTCCATGTACAGTTTCTCCATGTACAGTTTCTCCATGTACAGTTCCTCCATATACAGTTCCTCCATATACAGTTCCTCCATGTACAGTTTCTCCATGTACAGTTCCTCCATGTACAGTTTCTCCATGTACAGTTCCTCCATATACAGTTCCTCCATATACAGTTCCCTTTCCCTGTACAGTTCCTCATATACAGTTCCTCCATATACAGTTCCTCCATATACAGTTCCTCCATATACAGTTCCTCCATATACAGTTCCTCCATATACAGTTCCTCCATGTACAGTTCCATACAGCTATATACAGTGGTACCTCGAGTTTCATACAGCAATATACAGTGGTACCTCGAGTTTCATACAGCTATATACAGTGGTACCTCCCAGTTTCATACAGCTAAAATACAGTGGTACTCGAGTTTCATACAGCATATACAGTGGTACCTCGAGTTTCATACAGCTATATACAGTGGTACCTCGAGTTTCATACAGCTATATACAGTGGTACCTCGAGTTTCATACAGCTATATACAGTGGTACCCCGAGTTTTTATACAGCTATATACAGTGGTTTCCTCGAGTTTCATACAGCAATATACAGTGGTACCTCGAGTTTCATACAGCTATATACAGTGGTACCTCGAGTTTTGTACAGGTATATACAGTGGTACCCCAAGTTTTGTACAGCTATATACAGTGGTACCTCGAGTTTCGTACAGCTATATACAGTGGTACCTCGAGTTTCATACAGCTATATACAGTGGTACCCCAAGTTTTGTACAGCTATATACAGTGGTACCTCAGTTTCATACAGCTATAAAACAGTGGTACCTCGAGTTTCATACAGCTATATACAGTGGTACCTCGAGTTTCATACAGCTATATACAGTGGTACCTCGAGTTTCATACAGCAATATACAGTGGTACCTCGAGTTTCATACAGCTATATACAGTGGTACCTCGAGTTTCATACAGCTATATACAGTGGTACCTCGAGTTTCATACAGCTATAAAACAGTGGTACCTCGAGTTTCATACAGCTATATACAGTGGTACCTCGAGTTTCATACAGCTATATACAGTGGTACCCCAAGTTTTGTACAGCTATATACAGTGGTACCTAGAGTTTCATACAGCTATATACAGTGGTACCCCAAGTTTTGTTCAGCTATATACAGTGGTACTCGAGTTTTTATACAGCTATATACGTGGTACCTCGAGTTTCATACCAGCTATATACGTGGTACCTCGACTTTCATACGCTAATGTACAGTTGTACTCGAGTTTCATACAGCTATATACAGTGGTACCTCAAGTTTCATACAGCTATATACAGTGGTACCTTGAGTTTCATACAGCTATATACAGTGGTACCTTGAGTTTCATACAGCTATATACAGTGGTACCTCGAGTTGCATACAGCTATATACAGTGGACCCCCGCTTAACGATCACCCCCAAATGCGACCAATTATGTAAGTTATTTATGTAAGTGCGTTTTTTACGTGTATGTTTGGGGGTCTGAAATGGACTAATCTACTTCACAATATTCCTTATGGGAAAAAATTCGGTCAGTACTGCACCTGAACATACTAAATGGAAGGAAAAAGTTCGTTAACCGGGGGTCCACTGTACAGTGGGACCTCGAGTTTTTATACAGCTATATACAGTGGTACCTCGAGTTTTGTCAGCTATATACAGTGGTTTCCTCGAGTTTTGTACAGCTATATACAGTGGTACCCCAATGGTACACCAAAACAAAAAGGGGGTGACCCTACAGACTTAAACAACTATAGGCCAATACAACTTACCATTGCTATCCAAAATCTTTGAGAAAACGTGCACAGGAGACTGTATTCATTTATAACGGCTCAAAAAATACTCAACTCCTGCCAAAATTTTGGGTTCAGGAAAATAAAAAACAAATAATGATGCAATCATAAAAAATGCTAGATCTGCTTTACACAGCATTGGAAAATAAGGAATATCCACTAGGAATTTTTATTGACCTAAGAAAAGCTTTTGACACAGTAGACCACGACCCTCCTACTCCACAAACTTGATCATTATGGATATAGAGCCATGCGCTTGCTTATTTCAAATCTTACATTACTAATAGGTATCAGTACGTTCACCATTAAAACACAGCATCAGCAACACGGCCACTTGATACTGGAGTTCCGCAGGGAAGTGTCCTTGTCCCCTGCTCTTCCTCATATATATCAATGACCTTCCAAACGTATCCCAACACCTGAAACCCATTCTCTTTGCTGATGACACGACTTATGTCATCTCTCACCCTAATCTTGCCACCCTCAACACCATTGTGAATGAGGAGCTGATTAAAATATCGACTTGGATGACAGCCAATAAACTTACGCTTAACACTGACAAAACCTTCTATATTATGTTTGGTAGCAGAGTAGGAGATGCACAAATTAACATTAAGATTGACAACACTCTAATTACCAAAATAATGGGGCAAATTCCTAGGCTTATACCTTGACAACAACCTGAATTTCAGCACCCATATCCAGCATATAACCAAAAAAGTATCCAAAACGGTTGGGATCCTCTCCAAGATACGATACTATGTGCCGCAAAATGCCCTTCTCACACTATACCATTCACTTATTTATCCATACCTCACCTATGCTATTTGTGCTTGGGGATCAACTGCAGCAACACACCTAAAGCCAATAATAACCCAACAAAAAGCTGCAGTAAGAATAATCACTAAATCCCATCCCTGGCAACACACCCCCCCACTCTTCATAGACCTAAACTTACTCCCAGTTCAGTACATCCACACTTACTACTGTTCAGTCTACATCTACAGGGCCTTAAACTCTAATATCAACCTTGACCTAAAATGCTTTCTTGATAGTTGTGACAGAACCCACAGGCATAACACCAGACACAAACATCTCTACGACATTCCCCATGTCCGACTAAACCTTTACAAAAATTCAATGTATGTCAAAGGCCCTAAAATCTGGAATACCCTACCTGAGAACTCTAGAACTGCAGACACATTCATCACCTTCAAAACTACCATTAGAAAACATCTTATCTCCCTGATACACCCCGTCAACTAACTACACGATACCACCTGGTGGTTCACACTTACACTCACTCACTCATTTGACCATAAACAGAAATATTAA